GTACAACGTTTCGAGGTTTACCACCATGTCTTGGTTCCAAACTTCGCAGGTCCCTTGTCGTATTAGTAAATTGTGAAGTGGCTTCATGACGTGAAGGCGGATTTTGGAATTTCGAATGGAGCATATATCGGTTTAAGAAATAAACAAATGCATCTGGGAAAACATTCAGTGGTTGTAAGTACAAAGTGGATCCAATGGTGTACAACCGCTGTTTCTTCAGACTGAGAAGTCACACTGCTGCGATGGTTTGTGCACGTGTTGAGAATTCTCTTAAAATGGAAGGCGAAGCAACTGTTTCTTGACCAGGCGACCGGCAGTAGGCCCAGGGGACGGCCAAGATTAACCTGGTGCAAATATATGGAAGGAGTCTGTTCCAGACTCTAGTTGTCTTCTGCCGAAGCTCAGACTCTGGCACAGGATCAGGAAAGTTGGAAGCACTGTCTGAGACGTCAGCCTCTGCGACCCAAGAGGAGAAGCTTTCACGAAAGATGATGTAGAAATGGAGGATCCAGTTATTCTATAAACTGAGAAAATCATCTATTTCTTATCATCATTGCCAATAATGCTTGTGGGTCCTTCACAGCAATTTAAATTCTGTGCCATGAACTTCAGAACTGGAACTTATTACGAATGAAGGTTGGTCGGCTGGCAGTGTCGTATTTCACTGTCTCAGCATAGGACATACTTCTACGTAAATGCATTACTGTCTGTTGCATATTTTAATACTCGGTATTGATACTGCAGTGCATATAGAAATGGTGTTCCTCCAGGTTGCTGACAGGTCGGTGAGCCGTCTCTAGTTAAGATCATTCACTCGGTGCGGGTGCTACGGAGTACCGCTAAACACCGAGATTCTCGTGCATGCAGACATGTCGCTAAATGATTGCCAAATCACAGATTTCAGTGTGTTGTGAGAAGCAGCTATGAAGATGTGAAACAGTTCTCATGAAAGCGATCTTACAGTGTCTGGTCAGTAATTATAATTATAATTGCTTCAGTTTATCCAGGCTCTCTACGTCCGTAAGTACAACTTATAACATAAAATTAGATCCTGTGCTCAGAATTGCTATAATCCGCACAATGAATATTACAGAATGTATCCTATGGCTAAGAGAGGAAGGATTCGTGCGGAACAAAGTTCTGCGTTGTAACTCAAATTCATTAAACGCACATTTTCCAGCCAGTCCGCCGTCACAGTTCCACATCAAGAAGCTGGCCTGATTTATTTTCTTGAAAAGACTTAACATCCCAGACTTTTCATTTTTCAAATCCCAGACAAGATACAAAAGTGACAAAGGTGATCAAGTTTGGAGGATTGACTAAACGTGACACAAGATTTTTTTTCGAGCGTCTACTGAACTTGCTATGTTTCCAGTAGAGTCAATTCTGCTTTCCTCTCCGCTGTCATAAAAAAATTATTGGCGTTTCGAGCGCTCAAAAATATTTAATATGGCTGTAGGCTCCCAGAAACCATACGGAAGTTTGGCAATGAATATTTTAACGTTGTAAACTCTTATAGTACATCGACAAGGCGGTTACCACTGTCATCATTTTCACTGTCGTTGTCGTCCTCCTCTTCTTCGTCATCGTAATCTTCCTCCTAATGCATCTACACTTTATACGATATGTGTATGATTGTCTGAAGCTGATACCAATACCGTGTCGTAGATGACTTGAAGGTAATAGGTTTTCTGATTCCATGGTTGGCAGCACAAGAAAACAAGATAAAATGGTTATATTTGCAACAATTCTACAGTTTCAACCGAATTGCATCGGTCATCATCAGGGAAAGATTCTCGGGCTGCCAACCACAGAATCAGAAGACCTATCATCGTCAACAACTGAAGGGTAGAACAATGTCTGAATTGAGCATGTATCTCGCAGACCTTCTTCCATATGGTGTAACGTCATCTTGATGGATCTAAGCCAGGCCATTCAACAGATCCATAAGCTACTTGATTTTCTTACGCAATTTTCTTACGTTGTAACGTGCTTTTCAAGTATTACAGTAACTGTTTCACTTGAACGCCATTTTCTTGACATGTACCCAAAATTCAGACTAAATAGCACACATTTCATTGTGCCTTCTCTAGAGAGAGAGAGATAGTCGCAGTACTAGCAGTGCCTTATCCTCTCCTTCCTCATTCCTTTTTTAGAAAATATTGTCAGAAATTGCTAATGAGGTCGATAAATGAAAATTACTGCGTAGGAAGGAGGACAGAGGACCATGATCTGTATTTAGCACAATTCTATAGATGCCCTTAATTACTGAGGCATTTTTGATTGATGGTGTTCGAAAGAATACACTTGTACGTACTCAACTCATGGGAACATACAGGCTGCAAATTGACCAATAAGTATGTATCAGAAGGTAACAAATCAATAGAACTCTCGGAGTATTATAGTTTAGAAAATCGATCTCTGTGGATGTTTGTCAAATTTGATGAATACCAAACAGAGAAAATTATAATCGATCGTTGATCAACTTTACCAGACTTGTTTACGTATTTCTTTGTTCTGGTCCACTGAAAAGCCATTTAGCGTTGGAAGTTTTCTCTTTATTTTGTCTCGACCCGGCTGCG